ATAACCTACCACTCAATTCCTGCATATTTGCAAATTGAACCCCTATTTTAACTTTTACAAACATGCCCCTTACCTATGAATGAAAACAAATGTTTTGCTCTTCAAAAGGTCTAATTATTAGGTGTGGAGGACGCACGCTGAGCTGCGCGCGCCCTCCGATCACAGCCGCACATCGCGGCGTATGACAGTGGTCCCGCTGTCACACAGCCCGCCCAACCAGCCGCGATGTGAGGCTGTGATCGGAGGGCGTGCGCAGCTCTGCGCGCGCCCTCCTCACGCAATAATCGCTCCTTCAAAAGTCATAATAATGGTTGTTTCCGTTGTGACTAAGTACATATGTAGGATTTGGGTGGCATGTATAAATGCCGCATATATTTTTTACTCTCTAAAATCAATTAAGTTTTACAAAATAAGAGCAAGCAATTATCAATGATTTTCTTTCCTTTTTACATTATAAATAAGAAAATCCTAACAATTTATGCCCCACTTTAAATCCACCCTAGTTCACTTTTTCTATTTATAGCCTTTTGAGAAGAGCCATTTTGGCATTTTGCTCGTAACTTTTCTAACCATTAGATCCGATGGTCCATCAAAATTCTCCTCAATCGTATATAATTTTTTAAGGATTTGAGTGTTTTAATAACATCAAAATTGAGTGATCGTAGTTTTTTTTGGATTTCGCTCGTTTTTTTTTTTTGGATTTCGCTCGTCGAGATGCTCAATTTAACTATAAATATGTCAATTTTTGAGTTCATTTGACCCTTCACTTAATGATCGAAAACCTCTAATTGGGCTTCAACAACTTGATCTGAGCTTGATTATACTATGATTGAACTAGTTTTAGAGTAGTTGGGTTCGATTTGCCAGAACGGTCAGTTTGACTAAGGATAATCTTGAATTTGAATTTAGAATGTTTGTCGCTCAAAATAGATCAAGATTCATTTTATATGATAATAATGTCTTCATGTTCTAAAGAGGAGCCACTATGCTCCTTCAAATGACTAAACCAAGCATATGATTCTACATAGGAGGCTATCTAGCATGACTAAGGTGCTAGAGGCATCCCCGACCCAAACGAGGATAAGTTCTTTGTGGAGCGCTATCCCTCTCCTCTGTCCCTCATAAGTGACATCTTCGTCATTTAATTGACGGGTTTAAGTCACACCTTGTACAAAATCTACCTCTTAGAGGGTCATATGAACTAGAATTTCGTTCTTATTGGACTTAGTGCTACTAAGGTCTCCTTGGACGACGCAGTTCATTGATTGCTAACAAGAGATCTCTGGTTGGGTTGGGTCAACTACATTCACGATCAGGTAAACTTAGGGTCATCTTAGCTTGTAATGATGGATCCATGGTATCCAGATTTAGCTATCGCTACCTGCATAAGGATTCCTCCTCTTTCCGTTGACACCTTCTTTGAGCCCCGTCGATTCCCTTGAAATATCGTTTATGTCATCTTGTGGGACCTGCATGCCTAGGTGTCGCTGTCCGTGGTGGATACGGTGATTCACACTCTGCCCTATGGCCTAATGTAGGCATCGAAAGCATTGGGATTCTCCCATTTAAGATGATTAAAATCTTTTTGGTTACCTAAATAACCGCATATCATAAATTATGTAAGCAAACCCATTTTTATTGAGAGTATTTTTGGGCATCCCCCAGTATGTAATTAATATAAAGGAATACGTTCTTTTGGGAGTGCTCCTAAACCCATAACAATCACAAAAACTTGCTTCTTTGGTTGTGGATTGCTTTCATAGGGCTTTCTTCATCCATATGTTTCCATGACATTTTCGATCCAATCTCTTTTCGGACGCACACTCTTTGATTATCGCGTGAAGGCTATCTTGTAAAAGTTCTCCACGTTCTTTTTTAAAATTGTTTGTATATTTTCATCGTATTTTCTTACTTTATGGTTCTTCTCTTATTTGAATCATCTTTAAGAGAGATTTATTCGGAAAGATAATTATAAAATGATGTTAATTGATAAGATAAGCTGGCAAGTCAAAAAAGTTACAAGAAAAAACAATAACATTCATTACTTATTGCATTAAGTTAATATCAAGTTTTAACAATTTTACCTTAAACTAAACAAAAAATAATATATATTTTTTAAAATTTAATTTATAGCCGATTAAATAACCTCAACCATATCTTAAGGAGGATTTAAATGTACATACCACTCAATTCTTATGTATTTAAATATCTAACCATAATATTTAATTTTTACATGAAATGTGCATTTCACTTTTTAAATAATAATTATTACCAATAATCAAGAATTACTAACAAAATTGATTTGGAAATTGTGACAACACTTGTAAATGTGAATTTCTAAAGTTTTGGAAATGACTAATTTGGCAATTAGTTTATTTAGAGATTAATCAAGGATATAAGTTCGAATATTAATGGTTTAATAGTGCTCATTAATGATAATTACACCTAATATAAATAATTAATATTTTATGTGGACTACAACAAGTGGGGTCTACTGCATGAATCATATTTCTCAATTGTGTCATATTGAGCAACATATTTTCACTTAATTCTAATAAATTAAGAATATTATTTATACAACACGTCCAAGCCTTTTTAGGATTACCTTTCTTATCATAAATCAAATCTAAAACATCTACTCTCGCAAGCAAATCATCAGATAGCCGACGTTTAATGTTACCAAACTATCTAAAGAGATTCTTCACTAATTTTCTTTGCCAAAGAAGCTACTCCAACCCTTTTCACGTATATAAGTGTTTCAGAGTATCTATTAGTGTAAAGCCAGTCATTCACCCAAGCATTCATTCTCATCTCAACAACACTTCACTTAGGGTGCGTTTGGGACAGCTTGTACTTATCCAGATAAACTGTTAATCTGAAAATGAGGACTGCGGGGTCCGACCCGTGTTTAATGTAAAAAACCAACTGCATTTTCAGATAAGCTGTTCCAAACGGAGCCTTAGTTTAATGTTTCTCTTTAACAGGCCAACACTCTATGCCTGAGAGTTGATCGTACATCTAGCGACAGTCCGAATGAGGCCACACAGTTGTGAACCATGCGGCGGCCAATCCTTCTGAGCTTGAATAGAAAGAAATATTCTAAAACCAATCCAAACGACCCTAGCTCTCAATTCCATTAAAACAACTCCAACCAGAGATCTTCTTCAACCCACCATCCCTCATCAATCTTCTCAACCTCTCCACATCTCCCCACCTCCCCGCCTCCGCATACATGTTCGACAACCCGACATAAACCCCATGGTTCTCAGGCTCCACCCTAAGAATCTTCTCCACCACCCTCTCCGCAATCTCAACTTCGCCATGAAACCTGCAAGCCGACAACAAAGCACCCAAAACCACCACATCCGCCTCCCACGTCATCCCCTCCACCAACTCCTCCGCCTCCTTCAACCTCCCGCTCCGGCCCAGCA